TTTATTTAAATTATATATTAATATTTTTTTAATTAATTTTTAAATAAAAAAATTCTATTAAAAAATTTTATAAGTTAAAAAATAAACTTATTTAAAAATAATAATATAATAAATAATTTTACTTAAAATTACTTAAATACTTATTTTATTAAAATTTTAATAATAAAAAAATTTAAAAAATTATTATAATTAAATTTAATTATTATTTTATAAATTAATCTTAAATAAATTTATTTATTAAATTATTAAGTATATATATTTAAAATTTTATATAATTTAAATAAATATTTATTAAATATAAGCAAAAATAATAATTCTGATTTTTTAACTTATATTATAAATTATTTTAAATTTTAATTTATTATAAATTAATATTTATTTTAATAATTATTTATTATATTAAATAATAATTATATATTAAAATAAAGAATTCTAATTTTACTTTAAATTAAAAATAAAAATATTTATTAATAAAATTAAAATCTTTTAAATATAATACAAATATATAATTTATTATTTATTAACTAATAAAAAATTTAAATATTATATTATTTTTATAATTTTAAATAAAATATAAAATTATTTATTTATAATTATAATAAAATAAAATATATATTATAATTAGATTTTTTTATAGTTATCATACTTGAAAAAATAAAATTAGATATCTAAAGAAAGATATAATTATAAAGAAATTTTTTAATTATAATTAATTAATAATTAAAAATTTAAAAATGATAATTATAAAAAAATAATTATAAAAAAATTTAATTATAAAAAATTTAATTATAAATAATTTTAATTTATAAATACTTATAATTTTATTATTTAAATAATATTTAAGTTTAATATTAAAATACAGAATAAAATAACTTATTTATATAAAAATAAAAAATATAAATATAAATAAATTATTAATTTAATTTATATATAAATTTTATATAATTAATATAATAAAATTAATACTTAATTTATAGATTATTATTATATATTATATTATATATAGCTTATTATATTATAATTATTTAATTTATATATCAAGAAAAATTATATAATATAATAAGTTATTTTAGTTATAGATAGATTTTTTAATAAAATTTCTTTTAATTTTTATTTTATTAATTAAAAATAAGAATTATCTAAAATTAATAATTATAAAATATATAATAATTATTAATATAATAATATATAATTAATTTAATTAAATTAATATATAATAATTAATTATATTTTCAAAATAAAATTAATCTTTATAAAAAATAATACAAATTAAAAAATATAATATAAGAATATAAAATAAAAATCTAAATTAAAAGAAAGTAATTTAATTAAAATTTATTATATAAAATAGTATTCATTTAATTTAATTTAATTTAATTTTGAAATTATAAAATATTATATTTTTAATATTTTATTTAATTTTAATTAAATTAATATAAGTTTTATTATAATTTTAGAATTTAAAAATATTTTTATAAAAATTATAAGAATTAAAATAATAAATATATTTTAATAATATTTATAATAATTAAAATAAATAAAATTTAAATTAATTATTAATTTATTAAATTAATTAATTTATTAAAATTATTTTATAAGTTAACTTAATATAAAAATAATAATATAATTATTTATAAAATTTCTTTAATTATTAAAATTAGTTTATTAAAATAATTTTATATATATTAGTTTAAAATTTTTAGCTTATAATTAATAATAATTTATTTAATAATAATAAATTTATTAAATAAATAAATATAATAACAGATAAAAATATCAGAATATTTGTAGCTTTTTTATATTAAAAATTTTTATTTTAAACTTTAATAATTTAAGATTGATCTAAGTATTTTTATTTAATAAAAAAAATTTAATATAATTTAATTAACATTTAATTTTATTTTTTAATTTTTTAATAATTATCTTATTAAATTTTTTTTTATTATAAAAATACTTAAATTTTAATATTTTAATTTAAAATTATTAATATAGTAATTCTTATAATTATGAAACTAGAAATTAATTTTATTAATAAATATAATAAAAATTAAAAGTTTTTCTCTATTTAAAGTTTATAATTTTATTAAAAAATAATTTTTATTTTTATATCAAAATAAAATTTATAAGTTATAATTTTTAGATTTTTTCTAAAATAATTATTTTATTTACAAAGCTATCAAAATTTTTCTAATTAAAAATAAAATTTATTTAGAAAAAAATTTCATAATAACTTTACAAATAGAACAATTCTCTCAAAAAAATCTGAAAATCTGAAAAAAATATATATTAAACTATAACTTATGAACTTTATTTTGCTATAGAAATAAAAATTATATCTTAATAAAATTATAAACTTTAATATAGAGAGAAGCTTTTTAATTTTTATTACAAAGATAATTAGTTCAGTTAGATATCCAATTAATAAATTGATTGATTGATTAAATTGAAACGTGGGAAACACAGCAATTAAAAAATATGTGATATCATACGTTTTGCCAAGAACATGGCAAATAACAGCTTTTTTGAATCATTTTTACCAGAAGAGGCTTCAAATTCCTCTCGAAACCAACGTTCATTTTCTATATCGTCGTATAGTAACAACGAGAAATCGTACTATAATAGAAGAATATCAGAAAAACTTCAACAAGAAACAGCAACTTATTTTCAAAGAACAAACACACGCAAAAAGTTGTCAATTTTTGTTGGGTTTCTTGTTATTTGCATAATCTATGTTATCACTTTTCACTACGATATCTTATTATCTCCAACGCCCATAAATAAATCTAATAAAATAAGCACCGGTAGTAGTAAACAGCCTGATAACAGTGACTTTATTCCCGAAATGAAGCATGTAGTAGCAGGATATTTTGTCTCGTGGGGAATTTACGCGCGTGAACATAGTGTTGCAAAAGTGGATGCGAAAAAACTTACACATATCTTGTACGCGTTTGCTAATGTTCGTGAGGATGGGACTGTGTTTTTGAGTGACCCTTGGGCAGATATCGAGAAACATTATGAGGGGGATTCATGGAATGAGCCTGGAACCAATTTATATGGAAATTTTAAACAGCTGGGACTTTTGAAACATCAGAATCGACATGTCAAAGTTAGCTTGTCGATTGGTGGATGGACGTGGAGCTCTAATTTTGCTGGGATTGCTGCTAATCATGATACTAGGAAAAGATTTGTTGAGTCCTCAATGGAGTTGTTGAATGATTTAGGATTAGATGGGTTGGATGGTAAGTTACAGGAAAAATTTATTTGCAATGATATGATGAGAATATTCATCTTTATGCGAGATAATTAATGATAAATTTTAAATAATTTGATTAGTTGATTGGGAATATCCTAAAGATAAACACGAAGCAAAAAATTTCGTGAAGCTATTGAAAGAACTTCGACACGCTTTGGACAACTACGCAGAATCCAAGAATGAGACCAACAGATACTTATTGACTGCTGCTGTTCCATGCGGCGTGGACAAATACAAAATAATGCGCCTGGATGAAATGAACGAATACTTGGACTTATTCTACCTAATGGCTTATGATTTCGAAGGTGCATGGTCCAGTCGTGCAAATCATCAAACAAATCTCTACGGCGGTGACGTGTCAGCAGATCAAGCAATAAGATATTATCTAAAACAAGGAATCCCCTTCCATAAAATAATATTAGGAATGCCAATGTACGGTCGTGCATTCCAAAACACTAAAGGTCTCGGGCATCGATTTGAAGGTGTTGGTGAGGGCACATGGGAACAAGGAATTTATGATTACAAACGACTTCCGCGACCCGGTGCCGTTGAATATTTTGATGAGAAGTCAATGGCAAGTTATAGTTATGATGAAAACTCGAGAGAATTAGTCACTTATGATACACCAGAAAATGTTCATCACAAGTGTCGGTATATTCAAGAGAAAAAATTAGGTGGAGCTATGTTTTGGGAGTTGAGTGCAGATCATCCAACTGATCATGAACGATCATTGCTTAGTGCTGTATATCATGGACTTGGCGGTGCTCGGTCTTTAGATGATACACCGAATCATTTGTCGTTCCCTGATAGCAAATATCATAACGTGAGAAAGCATTATAAATAAATTGGTGGTTTGGGTTTAATTTGTTAACTGTATAAGCTTAGTGGACCTTTTTGGATTATTCTTTGATGATGTAAATTGGTTAAATTCTATAAAAAAAGGAATTTGCTTCGTATTAGTGTTTCTAAATTGTCTAAATGACAGCAATTTGTTTCACCACAAATACGAAGGAATTTTTTAAAGCATCCTATCGTTTTGAATTATTATTTTCACATCAAAGTAATTTGTGCTTTAATCATTTGAATTATGCTAATTTGTAACTTGTGCTTTAATATTTGAATAATTATGCTACGAAATGTTGAAAGTTGATCAATGATTCTTGTGTTAGAAATTCAACCTCCCTACCATCCAGTATTGAAAGATTTGCAATTCACTGAGAAAACTGTTTAACAATCTATGACCAACTATTTGTTAACCATTTTACATAAATGATGCGAATGCCTTCACAATTCCCTTACGGTGGGAAAAATTTCACGTGCAAAAGGTTCATTAACAAAACGAAATCCAGACATCACTTGTTTAATTATTATGTTAACTTTAGGGCGACGCGAAAATTTGAGCCACATCGGCACCGAACATCTTATTAGTTGCGAACATCCTTTTCGTTCGTTAGATTATTGCTTTCCCGACATTTTTATTTTCATTTTTTCTTGTGTTGGATTTGATCGCATCTTTATTGGGTTTTGTCATAACTTTGGGAACTAGTGAACGCCTTACCCCGGGGAAAAGTTAAAGCGAAGTAATGTTACTAATGAATAAGTTAAAGTTTAGCTTTCAAAAATCAAAAGAATGAAAATTTGAGTTATATGCAATTTTTAAAGTTTGTGTTACACAGGGTTGAAAAGATTGAACGCGTCCAGAATGACTATACATCTGACAAAAAATACAGTTTCAAGTCAAAAAATACTATACAAAATCCGCCATTAACATCTCCAGCTCGACAAGCCTCAACTCTGCCAGATCAAGCTTATTCAACAACCCATTAAACACATACAACGCGTCTTTATCCGTATCACTAAGTAAATCGGGATTCCGCATTTCTTCCGCTCGTTCTTTTTTCTCTATTAGACCATTACGCACGGCCGTCTCATATAGCCGACGTTCGTGGATATTCCCAAGAGTGCGATACACGTCGGAAAGCATTCGTCGGTAGCATTTGTTGAGGTCGACGTACCAGAGGTAGAATGTTCGCGATGGTGTGCGTTCAGCTACTTTCGGTACTTCCTGTGTTTATTTATTTTTTATTTAAGTGTTGGTTGGTAAAATGTATAGAAAAAGAAAATGCAGTAATTACTTGTAATTCGACAAAGCCTCCAACAAATAATTGGTCGACTAATTTCCTGGTTTCGGGTTGACCCATCAACGCAAAACTTGCAATCTTTGTACAAAAAAGCCCCATCATTATTATCCTCATACAAGAAATTTAAGCATTTCCACTAAAAACGTTGAATAAAACAAACCCACATTTTTCTCATCCAACTTTCCCTTAGTCGTCAATATTCTCATTATCCGCACACTCTCACTCCCATATTTCTCTTGCAAGTAAGTTTCCAACTTTCGCTGCTTCATCTTCTGACAAAGTTCCTTATATCTTACAGAATATGACGCGGTGGAATCCTTTTTGCGAATGAATTTCGCTTCGTCTTCCGCTAGTAATTGGAGGTACTGGTCAACGATATATTCATGGGATGGGTTTCTGGAGATGCCGTCAAAGACAATGTAGTCGCCAATACGGGCGCTTTGAGGTATTTTTTTTGTGATTGTTGTTTTTGATAATTGTCCTATCTCATAAATGTTATTAAGAAGATTATGAAGAATTTATAAGTAACACGGTAAAAAGAGAATATTGAAAATAAAAGAATAGTCACCGGACTCGATAGCATCTATTTTTGCATTTGGGTCATCTGCTATCTCAAGAATTCTTCTCATTACGCATTTCGCAGACTCGTTAATGCGTTCGCCAGCAAATGCGGCTATTTGCTTTAATAAAAACTAAAAAAATTACTTCCTGAAAGCAAATGTTCTACATAAATAAAGTCAAAAACATACAGCATTCCTTGATCGAATATTAAACCTTTCGTAATTCACCCTGTAATAGATATTTTCCTGGTGAATATTAATTAAAATCGATTAGATTAAAGTGGTAATAAAATCATCACTTTCATTCTGTATGAAATGCTTAACCTACATCAAAACCTTCATCGGTTTTTTGCATCTA